TATATATATATATATACATATATATATTCTGTTTCCCTTAGCTAAGCATCCTTTTGTTTACTGTTTACTGTTATGGTCCCCCAGTTCACCTTAAAACTCTGATCTCCTGGGAGGGTGGGAAATCTTAACTTGTAAAAGTTCCCACCTATGTTTCTCAGTGTGGTTATGAGTTTGTAAGAACAGAGCCAAGGGATCCAGGGCTGTACTAAGCATGACCAGCAAGCCTTTCTATGGATACAACAGAATAGTCAAAGGAATGGAAGTGAAAATGGGGAGGAAAAGACAGGAAAGGTTTTAAAAAATGCAATCCTGCAAAAGAAAGGTATGGATTGTTATGAGTGTGCTTATTACTGTCACATAAACAGAGTCAAATTCAAGGTCAAAGTGCTGTCCTTTGGTGATATATCCACATCACTGACATCAAATGCAAGACTGGATCTGCCCAGAGCAAGCATCTCAGAGAGCAGGTCCCAGCTGGGTTGGGAAGGCTGTCCCTTTTCTGGGATACTCCCACAGTGAATTTAGCCAGGAGGGAGGGGTGTGCTCATGTGACAGCCCAGAGGAAGCGCAGGGGCAGCTGGATTGGGTGGCAGCTTCACCTCTGAGCCCCTCCCTGGCTCCCTCTTCCCACAGAATGTGCCCAACCTGGAAGAGGGTTTCAGGGACAGACAGGCAGGTAGCTCTGATGAGAAAACAATCTAGAACCTCAGGAAGGGTGGCAGGACATTACCTGTGTCAGACACATCTGCATCAGTGGGAGCAGAGAAGAAATTAGAGAAAGAAATGATTTATAAGGAGAAAGTCAAACAGGTAAACAACTGGTCATCTCACTTTTTTCACAAAATGATAACTATATTATTATGTTCTAATTATAAAAATGTTTGCTCAACACAGACTCTTTCTGCCTGTCTCTAACAGAAGTTTATGCCTCAAAGAATGAATTGAGACTTTTTCTCTTTCTCTGTCTACTTTTGTGCACTACTCGCCATTTATAACCCAACCTCTCTCAGGAGCAATCTCTCAGGTCCTGTTCTGGGGCTCTGGGACCAAGGGACACAGTAGTGATCAGGGCAAGTGTACCACTTCCTAGTTCACTGCCTTTCCTGTGTCTACATGTGTCTTCTTGTATAGCCTGGGAGTCACGGAGAAAGGAGCATGTGATTAGAAGCAGAGACAATGCACAAAATGGGTAGAGAGGCTGGAATCAGTCGAGCCTCTGTCCACCTTCTTGCCTTTGGAGTAAATTAAAACACAGTCATTGTCACAATGGCATAACAAGTTTTCCTAACTCTGATAAATCTGTGACCACCTGGAGAAGACTCCCTGGGTATAGAATTTGAAAACAGTTGAACTCTACGCTGGCTGTCTTCCAGATGCTCTTCCCACTTGCCATTTGTCGCCATCCTGCACCATGAGGGAGAGGCTGACAGCACCGGTGGATTCCCTTACTGTCCTTGGATTTGGACAAGGGAGCCCCAGCAGGACACTTCAGGGACAGAGGGAGGAGAGTGAGCTCACAGAGTTATTTTTGGGAGCCATCCCTGTGAGGTTGTATCAGGCTGGGCGTGTCTCAATCGAAGGTCACTGCTCCTTTCAGTGACTTCCTCTCCATGACACATTCTGGCAACCACTTCCTCCCTGTCCTTTTGGGTTTATGGATGGTGAAGTCTTCACTGCTGCTCACTCGCCTGTGTCTTGTGAATGATCCTTTTGTGAATGAACTCTCATCAATCTTTGTTTATGAAATCTTTTTCCTGTTGGGACCTTCATAACGTATCACATGGTCATAACATAAGATGCCAAGTCCTTTCTCGTTTAAAAGGACAGAGCCAGAGGTGAAAGGAGCAGCTTTGTTCTATGTGTGCCCACCCCATGGCTCACTTTTCCTTTTCCTTTTTTTTTGGTGGAAAAGAGTTGTCTTGAGTCACATATAAGATATATAATATATTTCATGTATATGTAACAAAACTTCCTGTTAAAAATATTTTATTATTATATTTGAAAAACTAATTTAGTACTGCATTACCATAAGTGCCATCAGTAGCATTAGTATTCCATGACCATGGTAATAGTTATTACCATTACATATGTCTGTTTTCAAGGGTTGCTTTTATTACTCTGGGAGAAACTAGAATACCAATGTTCCAAATTACTTTCCTTTTGAAAACCTATGACTTCACTCACCTTGGTGTGGAAGATGGGCTGTGACCAGAGCACCTCATCAAATGTTCTACACAACTGGCCCAGGTCACTGGGACATTTGGAGGTGCACTGTGTATATTAATGCTAAGGGTTGATCTACTGACTGCACCTAAAGGAAATTAACTATAAAGGTGAGAATGTATTTTATTTGAACTTCTAGCCATTATTTATTTATGTTGAATTGCTCTTACGTCTATCCAAGAGGAGCCCCTTATTTCAAAGGGTGTCATGAAAAATGAGTCTGTTCGGTAAAGGGACGAATCTTTCCTCTTCTAGATCACATTCTGGATTCCTGGACCCCAAAATTCCCTTCCCAGATGATGCTGGGTCTGCTTCAGGGCCAACAGACCCCTCTCCCATGGGTTCTCTTCTGAAGGGCAGATGGCACCATTAGTACACACATCTAGGGCAAGGAATGGTCGAGTGGGAACTATTTGTGGGAGATGTGTGTGGACTCTAGGTGTGATCAATGATGTCCTTATGCATATCTGAGAGACTGAGAGACTGTAAGATATTGGATGGAGCCAGAGGTGAGAAGAGCAGCTTTATTGTATGTGTGTCCAACCCATGGCTCACTTTTACTTTTTTTGGGTTTTTTTCAGTCAACTGGAATTGTCTTGGGTCACATACAAGATATATATTTAATACATACGTAACAAAACTTCCTTTTTAAAGTATTTTATTATTATATATGAAAAAGAGGGCCAATAAAAAGTATGCTGCAGGTGGGACATGTTTTTGAGGGGCCAAAAATTCTAAATTTGAATCTGGACATTCTAATTTGTAATAAAGATAGATTTACCAGTTGGTTGTTTTCTTTCTTTCTCTTTCTTTCTTTCTTTCTTTCTTTTTCTTTCTTTCTTTCTTTCTTTCTTTCTTTCTTTCTCTTTCTTTCTTCCTCCCTTCCTTCCTTCCTTCTTTCTCTTTCCCTCTTTCCCCATATTTAATAGATTTTAGTCTCCTTTATAACTTTGAAATTTTCATATATATGTTATGTGGGCTTTTATTTGCATTCTTTCCCTGGGCTCTGCAAATATTAGGGATAGGGCTATGTTTATATATCATTATTTGTGTTGAAATATACAAAAGAATATTTAAGTCTGACTTGGACCTTAAAATGATTTTCAAAATTTAAATGTTCTAAAACCACTTGAACTTCCTCTGATGTATGATGATCACAAGCAGATTTCTGGAGAACACTCATTGTTCTCTGGTTGGTCCACATTGTCTGAGATAGTTCAGGAGGCGTCCTGCCTCTAAGACTGACAAGCTAGTCTCAGAAAGTTCTAGCCCTAGAACCTAAGAATAATATATGACCCATTTAGCATGGTTAGGAAATATTCCTTTTTGCAAGCTGTAAATGAAAAAATGTTCCTCTAAGTGAGACTAGTGGTATGTTTGGTGCCCCATAAAGTATTTGCAACTCAGCTCTGAAGCTGAGTTTATTAGGTGAAAACTGAACCAGTGATAACAGCTTACTGCAATCCTACAAGGGGGAGGAAGCTCTGGGAGGTGATTAAAGAGAACACAGGCTTCAGAGCCTGTGTTCATGGTGACCAGTAACACCTTCATTTAGGATGAGGGAAGGCAATGCCTGTTTTCTCAGGCCTGTGTTTACAGAAGGTAAGAGGTGACTCACCTATCTTGAAACGACCCATGTAGTAGATCTGGGTGCTGAGGGCCAAAGAGGCCAGAATATGGATTGCAGAGAAGATGACCCAGAACCACAGGTCATATTTCCCAAACACCTAGGAATAGAGATAGAGGTTACCTCAATCTGGGGTTTTACCAAGGAACTCACTAAATTAGCTGTCTCTTTTGTATGCTTAAGGAGTGAAACTGAGCAAAGTAGGCATTTTGTTTACCGCCCCCCACCCCCACACTTTTGGAACTTACAGGGATCTTACTGACACCGAGCAGAAAAAGAATGGCTACCTGGCTAAACAAAAACAGAAGAAAGTAGAAATAGGGGAGGCAACTGAGCAACAGTGATGAAATGGCGATAGGGCTTAAAGTTGGGGCCAACGTTCCTCCAATAACTGGAGATAGTCAGGTGTGGTGGCACATGCCTGTGAACCTAGCACTCTGGCAGGCTGAGGCAGGAGACTTACAAGTTCAAGCCCAGCTTGGGGAACTTAGTGAGATCCTGTCTGAAAATAAAAATAGGGTAGGGATATAGCTAGTTCAAAGGCCCTGAGTTCAATCTCCAGTACTGCAAAACAAAATAGAACAAATAAACAACTCCCCGAACCCCAAACAACCGAACAAAAAAACACCTGGAGATAAGCATCACTTTTTGCCCATACACATTTAGAAAGTGGTTTCTGTTCTTTCAAGTTGTTCTCTCCAATCAGTTTGGACTTCTGTATTCTAATCTCACATGTGTCCAGCCACAGCTTGATATTACGACTGTCCAGGAGCGGCTTTACAATGATCCATTACAGTATTAGAAGTCATCATTTAAGTAACTAAATAAGAGTGCCACATAGGCTGGGGATTTAGCTCAGTGGTTCCGCCACTTGCTTCACAAGTGCAAGGTCCCGAGTTCGATCCCCGGTACCAAAAACAAAACAAAACAAAGCAAAACAAAACAAAAAAGAGTGACACAGTGGACACATGATAGTGTGTCACAGAGCAAAGGTGATGATTAATTCAAACACATGCACCTGAGGTCCAGAAAACAATAAACAAACAATAAAAAACTTCCCGTGAGGGCACTTTTTGGGAGCCAGACTGAAGGACTGAAAGAGACGCACCACTCCGAGGACGGTGAGCATGATGACCACAGCGAAGGAGGCATAGGCAGAGTAGGCGCTGGCATTGATGTCTGGGTGACGGGTCTGATAGAGCTTCAGCATGCAGAGGCCCGCGATCATGTACATGAAGGAGGTGTCTGAGAATTATGGAAATGCAAAGCAAAACAATAATGTAATGCTCGGCGTTACTCAAAAATTTAGCAAGACATTTAAATGACTGGTAATAATAAATGCCCACAATGTGAGAGAAATGGAAACTCTCTCACAACTGGTGGGAATAGGGATTAACACTCTGCAGAGAGATTTGTTAGTTTTTGGCAACACAGAAGATACATACACCAGGTGATTTGAAAATTCTGCTTCTAAATTTCCTGGGGAATCTCTCTCACATCTGCACAAATTTATATATATATATATATATATATACACACACACACACAAATTTATATATATATATACAAATTTATATATATAAATTTGATTATATATAAATTTATATATATATATATTCCAGTGGAGGTGTTGATAAATATTTTGCGATAGAATATGACAATCTTTAAAAATGAATGAACTCCATATTCTTGATTCAGTTTTGATAAGTCTTGAAAACACTGGTAAATGAGAAAAGAAGCTTTCAGAACACAACGTGTTAAATTAATGTAGTAAATTGTACAAATGTAGTAAAATATAACTACAAACTAGAAGGATAAATACCAAACTGATCATTGTTGCTTCTGGGGGTTAAATTTGGGAAATAGTTTGAAATAGGTTCAGAATGGTTCAACTTTATCACAATGTTTTATTTCTTAAAAAGTAGGTCTAAGGCAAATATTTAAAAGTGGTGACATTTCTTCATTCTGAGTAGTGAATGATAATGTTCTTGATAGTTTTATCTATTAAAAATGTTTCCTAATTTTTAAAGATTAAATGTGACAAGAGAATTTCTGTAGTGTTCTAACAGCCAGAGGCTGGAGAACAAATTTAAAAAGTGACAATTTAAAAAATTTTTATCCTTGAGTGTACAAGACAATCAGCTACCAGCTCTGTTCTCTTCTTCCTTCTTAACATCTCAATATTGACTCCATATGTACACCCTTTTCAGTTCAGAAATGCACACCATTCCAGGCCCTTGGCTTCAGGAAAGCTATCCCCACCCTTCCTTGCCTCCAGAGATGATATGATTGGTTGAAGGGTAATCCCACCTCCTTTGCTGATTGGTGTAGCAACAAAGGCCTCATCTGAGTCCTCCGAAAGATTCAGGAATGGGGTCATCACTGTTTAATGAGGGGACATTATCTGGGGGTTTCTTAAAAAGAAGTTTTCTTGCTCTTAAATGGAGGATCCTGGAAGTCACCTTGAAATATCCTCTGGAATTGGAGGATGCAATATGAAGCCAGGACCTATTTATTTATTTTTTATTTTATTTTATTTTTGGGGGACCGGGGATCAAACTCGGGACCTTGCGTTTGCAAGGCAGGTGGCAGAACCATTGAGCTAAATCCCCGGCCCAGGACCTATGATAACTACTTTTACCATCATAAGGGAAGTCAGCCTATGTATAAAACCAACATACAGGCAGTGTACAACCAAAGAGATCACACAGAGAAATGGAGCAAGCGGCACTCCATAACCCAGCCACAAGCCCTTTCTACCTCTGGACTATCAGGGAGTAAATTGGGTTTTCTATTACTTTTACCCCAGGATAGTCTAACTGCTTAAGCAAAAAAAGGGGCTTTTTCCGAAGTCTGTTAGTGGATTCTGTCTGGCTTGCTGCTTACTGCTTGGCCCATGGCTTGCCTTTGGATCTCATCATGGGATCATCAAGCAGTCTTGACTGTTTTCTGGTATGAAAAATGGTCAAGAGGAAGAGTGGTAGAAGGTGTAGAAACCATGCTCTGTGGTAAGATGCTCTCAGATCACTTAGTTCATACAAAATGCCTATGATTTCTTGCAAGTATGAGCTTGGCATTTTTGGAAATGTCCTAGGATAGGACTCCCATAACTCACATCTGTGTAGCTGATAGAAATTCTAATTACCGAATTGGAAATTGGAGTAATTAGGGCAGACATGGTAACAAGCACTTAGCACTCCTTCCATCATCAGTGCGATGCCCATAGCATAGAAGAGACCAAAGTGTTTGGGAATCCCATACTCCTGAAAAAGGAGAAAGGGTGGTCAATAGAAAAACACTTGTTAGCAACATATTCACAGAATCTAGAAGCCCATGCTTCTAGCCTCATGTGGCTCATTATACTTAACATATCATCACGTCATCAAGCCAGGTGTCCCTCCCCCTTACAAATTCTGTTGGAATCATGGTCCTTTCCAACTCCTACCTTTTATTTGCCCACTGTCTCCTCACCATAGCAAAGATGTCCTTGGCTTCCAGGGCCCTTCGATGGAAGATATCCCGGCGCAAGACTATTAGTAGGAAGAGGAAGCCCAGAAGTACATGGCCAAGGTTACTGAGAATATTGTTGAAGGCACTAGGGGGAGGAGTGAGAAGCCATGAGCAATCAGGAGGATTCAGAGAATGAATGAACACACAAATGGGAGAGTGATTCAGCATTCAGTGTTTGCCACCACCAACTCTGTCCTAAGATTTCAGGGTTGGAAAATTATCAGAAATCCTCTTTAAACTAACTACTTCATTTTGGGATGCTTATTCAGCTTGTGGTAACCTGCCTATTTCTTCTCAGGAATGCCTGCTGTGCATCCCTAACACCTGCCCAATCTCTTGTCTCAATGGCAGTGACAAAGTATGAGTCCTGAGAAAGAGAGCTGCTCCAAAGATGGGCAGGTGTTTCAGCTACACTGTGAGAGTGGATTCTCATGGGTGGACCCACATTGTATATCAACATTCAGCTCTCTAATTGTGCATCATGAATTTCAGGATAAATGTTGGCTCACCTCAGCTAGCAGCTTTATTTCAGGAAACCAAAGCTGGTTCTACTCTGAAGCAAGAATCTAGGTGCCCAACTCCCAGGCAAGTGCTCTTTCCATTTCACCCAGTTCTGGTGGCTACAGGACAGCTAGGAGGGCTGCAGACCTGGGGTCAAGTCCTGACATCACTAAAAGCTGAGGGGCTTTCAGCAAGTCCTTACCTGTCCAACTATCTACATCTAACAATGGAGGTAAAAGAATCTATCTCATGAGGTTGTTTAACAGATTGAATGAGACAACAGGCTGCCAGCTCATGCCCATGAACACATGCCACCACAGCTAGGGATGTGACATTTTCAAAAACATCACTGGTTACATCTCAGCAGGTGCCTCTTAGGAAGGTTGTCTGTGCCTTCATGCAGCAATGGTAAGTCCATATCTGGCCTCAGTCTCGGGGTTTTATTTCTCTTTACCTTAACTAGTAGTAGTAGTAGTAGTAGTAGTAGTAGTAGTAGTCTTTCACAGTTGTTTTTAAAAGCTGAAATGATGGAAAAGAATCTTTAAATGCCTCGTGAGCAACTGGAGAACTGCATTTACCTTAGGACGCCCAAGGGGTGAGCACAGAGGAAATTGTAGTAACAGATATCCTGGTTGCCAGTGACATTTACCACCTGTGGAAATCAAGTGGGAGAAATGGGAATGCATTTTCCTCCATCGTCTGTGCCCCGCCTGAATTCACAAAGAGCAGACAGTGAATCCCCATCAGCCTTTTGCAATGTAACAGGTGCACTTCCTCAGCAGGGATAAGTTATGATTTGCCACATTACATAGCACAGGCCTATTTCCTATAAATGTCACCATCTTGCTTTGAAGGGAAATAGTCTGTGTACCCCATTAGGTGGCCTCAAGGTGGCATTCAATAGAATATGAATCGTTCGTCATCACACAAAGTCTATGAAAGGAAAGGATGCTAACACTGGGACCTGCCTTTTTAGTCTACCTTGATATTCTCTAGATTAATTCTGGGGTGATATGGAGCTGCTGCATCATGTGGGTGGAAATGATAACCACCCAAGAAGGTAGACATGAGCAGGTGTATATTCAGCTTTCTATATTTACTACCATCTCTATCAAGAACCTATCCAAACCATGGCACAGCCATACCTTCTGACTTTGGGAACCTAAAAATTGCAGAGAATATTTAAATTATAAACAGTGGTGTTCAAAGTCCTTATCCTTCCTAGGTAACAAGTATGGAATGGACTAAATATTATTAGAGTTTTAGCCCGCAAACTTGGCTGTATGTTGGAATCAATGGGGGATTTGAATAGCACTGATACCTGGTTCCACTCAGAGACCCTAATCTACTTGGTTTGGGGTGCATCTTGGATTCTAGGAGTTTTAGAAAAAGTGTCCCAGGTGATTTAATGCACAGAAAAGTTTGAGAGTCACTGTATTAAAAACATCTTCAGACTTGTGCAGTTCTAAATGGGTTTTCTCATGCATCATAAATTCTAAAGAATTTACACATAAAGTGACCTAGGGTTCTGTGGAGGAGCAGTGGAGATTCTCAAGCTGTTTTAATGCTATCTTTGATTTTTAAATTTTTTGTTCATATCTTATATTTTCTTTTTGTTTTAACACTTCGTTAGTTTCATGTAGCTGTTTTTACTTTTATAAAAATATTTATCCTCAGTGAGAAGGCACAGGCTAAATTAGACATCAGATTTTGCTTTTGACTGGAACTTTACTCATTATTCCATGATGATGAGATACCTCAGAGTGGTATAAGTAAGTTTGACACATAGTATGACTGAATGAGTGCAAGGTAAGAATTTCAGGCTGGTAGACAAAACAATGTAAGAAATGCCAGGTCCCTTTGTGATCAAGCAGTGAGGAAAGAGATTGACAGGCCAGTTAAGAATGAAGCAATAGAGAAGTTCACTTGGAATTCAGATAGGAAATTAATGGTTGAACACATCTCAAGTTGTACTTTTCTCCATACAGGATGGGACCTGGGATTCTGGGTTGAGGGTGGCACTTACTGTCTGGTAGGTGATGACCAGCTGGATCACAGGAAGTGCATAAAACACAGCAATTGTGATGATGTTCCTATGGAAACATGAAGAACCAGAAAAATTTATTTCCCAATTAACAGTGGAAGTTTTGCTGGGTTTTTTTTTGTGTTTTTTTTACAGAATGGTTCCACTCCATAATTCCATGGTGAATTTGCAAAAGTGGTCTCAAACTGTGATGGGGCTCCTGTTTCACCAGTCTTCCTTTCCCCTTGTCTTCTATTTAGGCATTTGGTGTATATTATGTCTTGAATAAAGGGGAGGAAAAGAAGTAAACAAAACTCTCCTTGGTTAGTATCAGTTTGATTGCAGAGACCACTGGAAATATTAATTGAAGGGATATTCTTGAAGACTAATCATTGGCATCTCACAATTATTAATTTTTTTCATCTTTGCACAACCATTTGTAAAATGTTTAACATCTGCTTCTGGTTTAACCACATTATTAATGAGAGCCCATCTCTTTGGGATGTTGTTAGATTAAAAGTGATCAGAACGTAAGTAGCAGGTGAAGGATCACATGCAGAGGATTTGGCTTCCTTATGTAACTCTTAGTTCCAAAAGGATGGTCCCATTATGAAATGACATCTGGCTCCATTGTCCCTGGTTTCCCTCCAAAATCTGTGTACAAGTAAAAGGGTATTCTTCAGGAGAAAAGAATAGGAGAGACTGTCACAAGAGGACAACAGTTGACCTGGGGTTTTCTGAGGGGACATAGTGCCCTTCTCAGTCAGCTCAGCCTTTAGCTTGGGCAGGAAGCTGTGTCCATGAATAGGACTATCACAAATCTATTTGGCATTAGCTGGTGGCATCATCACTGATACTTGTGCCTCATTAAGGGGCACACTTTTGGGACCTAAGGGGCTGTGGCTTCTTCAAAGAAAATTTTAAACTTAAGTGATTTAATTTTATTTAAAGGAACTATGGTTCTTTTACTGCTCATCTACTTACCAAAAATAAATCTTATATTTTTTGCTTACAATTCTCCGGTCTTTCCTGGACAGATCTGACAGGTAAAGGAACATCTAGAATATCAAATAAAAAGAGAATACAAAATCTCACTTAGCTTTTCTTGCATAAGACACAAAGGAGAGCTTTACAAGTTTTAATTTAAACCCTCATCAGAGATCATAATTATTCAATAAGACTTTTCTTTTAATTTTGATTTTCACAAAATACCTTAATAAAAATATTAGTATTTTCTTTTGAATATTGATGATTGGCTGATGTGGGAAACCCATTAAGAGACTTGAATGCTTCTTATATCTCACGTATTGATTTCCCAACTTTCTGAGCTGTTCATTCTTGAATTATAGAAGGTTGAAACTGCGCAATTTACCTTCATATCTTTTACTGGGATCCACACAATATAATAAATGAAAAGAATAAATAAAAGAAATGAGCTTTACTCCCAAATTTGTACAGAAACTAGGAGCTTTTCCAGATATACCCCCCAAATGAGTCTTTTCTTTTACCTGGCTAGATCCCCTATATCGTTTCTTTCCCATAGTCATCCATTTCAGATCCCAAGAGTGTTTATAATGCTTTGTTATCTGTAATTTTTCACTTTTTTTCTCAAGTAAAATGTGCTAATGAACAGAGTACTGCCTTTAGCCTGTAATTCATTTTGTCTAAACACACCAGGGAATTTGAGCTCCTCTGAAGGGAAAAATATAAAGGAAACTGAAGTATTGGTTTATTTTATCATCAAACTTGCTGCCCTCTCAAAAAGTGTAGCTATGTAGAGGGAGCTACCTTGGTCCGGATGACATTTTTGTCACTCTCAATATCTGGCATGGTGTCAAAGTCACTCTCCTCCACGGAGCTGTCTGTATCTGATGGGCATGGCTGACCACCGTCCGAGGAGGACATCTGCCTTCCAGGGCTAGAGCTTGACTCATCTGAAAGAGAGAACTCACCTGCTTTTAGGAGCCAAGAGCAGCCCATCGAGCCAATTCCTCTCCAAAAAGCACAGTGTTGACTCACTCTAGAAAATACTGCTTTGGTCAAAACTAAGTCCTTATCCACAAGACATGCTCTTTCTCTCATACCGTCTCAAAGGACTTTCATTTTTCCCATCTCCTATTTTTACACTTGTCTATCTTTGAATGCATATTAGACTATAAGGACATCTGTTCTGTTAAATATTCGGATGCAAAAATAGCACTGTGCTTATATTTCATGTTTCATATGTTAAAGTATGAACACAAATACATAAACATAAACATGCACATAGTTATGTATAGCATCTATCACATATATGTGTAATCACACACATATTCAGCTATACATTTCTCATGAATAAAGTATTTATACTCAGAAACCTCTCACATGCCATATCTATGGTTATGTAATGAAAACAACATTCTCAGGAAGAAGGACTCCTCTGTTCTCATGAGTGTTTCCCAGAGCAGATGGGATTTGTGCAGCTTGAGCATATGAGCTGAGCCTATCTTCCACTTTATTTCATCTGCTCAGATGGTTTTTAAAATTCTTGTTCTTTGAGAACTAAAAATAAGCACCCTACACTGAGCCCACGTGCACAAAGATGTAGAATAATAGTCCAGGAATACAGGATTCCCAGTCTCTATATAATGATGTTTTGAGGAGCACCATTCACAGGCCCAAAGAATCACAGAAGGGGCAAGGCAGCTGAATGCACTCCTACCCTAATCAGACGCGTATAGAGATTCTGTTCTTTGCAGGCTGATTAATGTACAGTGGGTTTGCCATGTGAATGACTGGGTAGCAGTGAGCAGGCTCAATTGTGCAGTTAGCCAAAAGGACTGTTAGACTATAGCTACATTCACTGGCAACACTGCCTCAGTCTTCTGACTGCTCTTACTCCATTGAAACCTGAGAATGAAACAACTGGTCAACAGATGTCAGGCTTCCTGGGACACATCTTTTATGCCTCATACTCAGGCTGGGTATGAAAAAGTTCCCAGGAGTACTTGGTAGTGGCCAGAAACCATTTCAGGGAATTCTGCTCAAGTGTGGCTAGCTAATCAAGAAACAAAACTGCAGGAAGTTAGAGATGGAAGGGATTTTCCAGATTATCCAACCAATTCATCTTATAAATGAAAGACAAGTTCAGAAGGTGACTGGCTCGTCTATGCTCACAGTTATGAGTGGCTGGAGAGCTAATCTCTGGAGAATGAAGAAAGGGTTTCACCAACAGACTCTTTATAGGAAATACCTATTGCTCCGTAATTGCTCCCTTCAGGTGTGCTGGCAGCAATGGGATGGGATGCTGCCATATTTCCAGAGCCTGTGAAAAAAAGCAGAGTCAAACATGTCCTGGTGCTAAAACAAAACAACACAACGCTAAACAGTTCAAATCATCAGGCCACATTATTTGAAATTTGATTTTCTTTTTACTCTAATAGGAGACACCAAATCCAGCCTGCTGCTTGTTTTTCTACAGCCCTTAAACTAAGAGTGGTTTTAAGATTTTAAAAATTTGGGGAAAAAATTAAAAGAAGAATATTTTTTAAAAAATTAGTTTTATTGGTACATTTTAGGTAGACAATATAATGACATTCATCACTGGAAATCTGCACCTCTACATACTCTCTTGGTTCTTATTTTTTCCCCATTGCGCTGCCCTCCCTTCAACCCCTCCATCCCTCCCTATTTATGAAGACTTTGCTTCCATTTTTTCATTTTCTCATATTAATTCCATAAAAGAAGAATATTTCATGGCAGGAAGTTATATGTAATTCAAATTTCAGTATTAATATATAAAGTTGTTTTGAAACATAGCCACGTTCATTTGGGTACAAATATGCTTTTGTGCTAACATGGCACAGTTGAAGTAGTTGTAGCTACTTCAACAGTAGTTGTATGCCTCGAAGAGCCTCACATAATTACTATTTGACCCTTTACAGAAAAAATGAGCTGATTCCTGTCTGGCAGTATTGCAGAGTAACAGGAATAAAGAAGCCTGGGTCTGGAATTGCCATGGGGAAGGTCCTCACTGAATAGAAACACCAGAAATACACTTCTATCATTAAGTCATAGCAATTTGGAGGTTTATTTTTTATACTATTTAGCACTACCCTAACTATAGCCAGGAATTCCAGGTAAGGAGGAAGATACTGAACTCACTGGAGCAATAAGTGATGGCAACATGAATTAAGGGTATGGAGGAAGATGAGTTATTCTGAAGGATATTTATGTGTATCTATTGTCAACTGATTGTTGACAATGAGAGAAAAACAGACCCCAACACTGTATTCCTTGCCAGGTGTGGTGGCACACACCTGTAACCCCACTACTCTAGGAGCCTGCAGCAGGAAGATTGCAAGTTCAAACACAGCTTGGGCAATGTAGGAACTTAGTGACACTCTGTCTCAAACTTAAAAAAATAATAAAGGGCTGGAGATATAACTCAGTGCAAAGGTCCTAGGTTTAATTCACAGAAATTCAAAAAAGAAAAAAATGTTCCTTAAACATTTTCAGTGATGTATGGTACGCTTAGTATGGGAAGACTGACTTCATTGCTCTGAAAGTCTAGGGATGTCTCTGGAGCCACACTACTACATGCATCAGAGAAAAATATCTCCCAGACTTTTTAATGACTATCAGGAAGACATACAATGTATCACATTAAATTTATCCATTTCTGAGAATGAAGCCAAACTGAACACAAACTGAACAGCAGAAACCACAAATATGCAGACATCCAGGCAGTTTCTTTGATTCTGACTTAGTGCCATAATATTTGCAAGAGGCATGCTCATCTACAGAATTTCATGAGAACATTTCTTCACTGCCTTCTGAGCTTTGCCAAGGATGTGGGTATTGTTAGGCTGTGGGAATGTCAACAAATTCTTTCTGAGAGGAGAGATTGCTGGTGTCGCATGACAGCAAGAGTCTGTGAGTTAACTGGCTACTCTCTTCTTTTTGCCTCTTGTCTCTCTGTGCACATCCCCACCCTGCCACCCTTCTGGGGGTGGAACCCAGGACTTCCTGTGAGCTAGGCAAGCACTCTACCACTGAGCTACATCCCTAGCCTGCTGCTCAGTCTCTTATACTATTGCAGGCAAGCATATTTTCAGTGAAGAAACTTAACTGAGGCTATTTTAAAATATCTTTACTGTAAATATATTTCACACTTTTCACTAAAAATATAATTCATTATAATTTACATGAAAACTACAGTATGTAGCATATGTAAAAGAACCAAAAGCCTCAAAAAATTCCTAGTTGTACCAATCAACTTTCTTCATCCAGCTTTTAAACTTCATTTCCATTCGGGAGCGGTGAAAACATTCATAGTTTTGCAAGCTAACTTTGTAGGCTCTATGATGATGATGATGATCATGATGATGATGATGATGATGACGATGATTTTTATCTCTTTTGTACCCATTCATTTCCTCTAAGAACAAAGATAATTTAAAAAACTTTGGCTAGTTATGGGAGGCAAATCTAATGGCCCCCGATGCTCATTTTCTTTTCTCCTTTGGTGACTTAACCGAATTAAGCTGGACAACAAAGCTTTGGGCTAATGCAGTGTTCTTGGCATGTGAGGCTTCTCCCAAGGCCTTAGAATGCAGCCTTTGGCTCTTACAATGTGCACTCCCTGACACTGTTACTAGGCTTCATATATTTATTATTTAATGAAATTAGATCCCTGACTTTCCTTGGGCTAATCCATAATTATGCAACATGGCATCAAAATCCATGCATGCTTTTCATCCAACTTCACTGCAAAGAAACATGTTACCTTCGGATTCTTAAATATGAAAAATCAAATCTTTAGAGCCCAGTAAATGTTATGTGAAGATGCTGTGCACAGTTTGATCGTGTTCTTGACCTAGGACAAATTTGACCAGAGCTGCCATAGAGCTTTGCTGTTGCGTCTGTGTTTGTACTCATGACTACAAGTACCATTGCCTTTACCACCACTGGTACTGATGCTACTCCTAATGCTGGTATTGTTATTACTGCTGCTGCTGCTACTTCTTTGATCTTTACTCAAAACTTACTGTGTCAGTCACTTTAGAATGTTTTTTAAGAGTTTGATTTTTTAACTT